CTAACACAAGCATGAAGCAATTGACTTTTACCAAGACCTGGATCACCAACGATTAATATATGTGGATCAGAACGAATTGGAATATGACACTAAAAATCATAATAGGATAAAAAAAACACCTTGTTTTTTTGTTTTATTTTTAACTTACGGCACCATCTTCATTTCGAACTAATCCACCAAATAAAGCCATTAATAATGCTGCTTTAACAAGTTCATGTCCATATATACTTGGACAAAGTGAATGAACAAGAAGTCTATTATAATAAATAAAAAAAAAGTAAAACGAACTTCGAAACTCTTTTCATTAATCCCCATAAAAGGCCTTATTTCTATGAATACTTGATATACTCCATAGCGCTTAGCGATATGCATTTTCATTAAAATATAGTGCCCAGCAGGATGACATAATACAAAGAAGAATGTTATAGTACTCAGCAATATGAATTTGAATCACATTATAGTTGTAGCGTTTTGTCTGCAAATTGCATTTCGGGGATGTACATTGGTAGGCTTCTATTCACTGATACCCATTACGACGCCCTCTTGAGACAGACATTTTTCTTGTTCTTAATATTTTACTGTTAAAATTGTTACTTCTCTGTAATATTTTGTTATTTTTCTGATTAAAAAAAAAGAACACTGCAATAAACAGGTGAATTTATATGTCATAAATTTATGAAGAAACATCGATTTGTTAAAAGTGAATCAAAGCTATTGAGTAATTCGCTTTTTACGTTAGCACTAGTTGCATATAAATACCAATTATTTTAAAAGACCACACCATTTCTAATAGGATCAAAGTAGACTAGTACGTTATCCTGCTGGACACTACGTTTAATTGAAGCACTACGGAGTGTACTAACTTTTTATAGGATCTCGAGTATTTACAGAAGTTCATGAGAGAAGTTTGAGTCCGAGTCAGAATTTATGTAACTTAAAATTAACTATTCAAAAGAAATGTTTCATTTACTTTAAAACATTTTTTTGTTGTTGAATTTGTTGAATACCATATAAATCAAATAAAGAAAAATCCATTGTATTCATTAAACTATTACCACCTAATGCACTATCAGAAGTATTTAATCGTTGATTAACAACTGAATTAACATCAATATAAATTTGAAGTAACGATTGATCAGATATTTTACGTAGACCACCTCAAAAAAAAAACAATCATATCCAAATTTATTAAATAGATAAATTAAATTGTTTTTTTTTTGTTTTTCATACTATTTTCGTCTACCATTAATTTTACAACACCAGAAACAACTACAGCATCACCTGGAATAGCACTATTAACAAGATCATTTGTCAATTCACATTCAATCGTTTGTGGAATACGACCAGGTGCTCGTGATGCTTCTGAAGCAACTTCTTGCAATCTGTAAAAAAAAAAAGTAAAAATGCTTTCATCAAAATATTAATTAACAAATATTCAAAAAACCGAATTGTTTGCCAATCAATAATTGTTGTTAATGGATGAGAACGTTGTTGAACAAATGATCGACCAATACAACCAGGTGTTGGACAACGTTCAGGTTCTGTATGTTTACCATTTTCACATGTTACACCAAATGTATGTCGACATGTTGAACATTCGTATGCAAGACGAACGACCAAACATTGTGAATTACTTACACGTACAACAACACCTCGAATTGACACCAATTTACCTAAATATTTTATAAATGATTTATTTGAAAAAATAAAATAAAAACAAAAGAATTAAACCATAAGCTTGAGCTTTGACATCTTTTAATCGAATCATTGGTGTAAAATTAACTAAACGTGCATGAATTATTGGAAGATCAATAAGTGGTACTGTTGGATGATGACATTCACTAGCTGCTAGTCGATCTTTTTCTTCTTGTTCATCAATAATACACTAAAAATAACGAAGTTTGTTTGTTTTTCAGTTCCATAAAAAATAAAATAAAATAAACAATTCAGTGCAAAAGTTCTGTATTATATTCCTTTTCAGTATAGCGTGACAATAACTCATCATAGAGACTCAATAGTTTTCATGTTAGAAAGAGCAAAGTCTCTACTATAAAGATATGTAAAAATATTTCGTTCAAGATACTTACTGAAAGCTAAAAAGTTTTAAGAATATGTTCGGTTGAAAAAGTGCCGTGCAATCTCACACAAAAATCACTGATGAAAAGTGTATTTCATCAATGTCTTGCACTCCTTCAAGTTACAAAATTACAAGTTTCATAAGAAACAGTTTTATTAAAAACTTGATCTTTCGTCTACAACGTCCAAAGAAGTTTTTTTTATAATGTATAATAGAAAAACTGTATTCTACTTCAGAAGTCTTAATGAGTTAGGTCAAGTGCAATCCAGTCCATTGGTACCTCTGCTCTATTTTATATAGTGTGCTTTTGTAGATAGCTTACTAAACTCTAAAATATGGTATTTCACTAACTTTAACTGCTGGAAAAAAGTCGTATTTTTCGAAATTACTTGTGAAAACTTTCCGTTAACAAGGATCGTTATGAAAATATCGATTTCGAACTCAACCGACGACTTAAAAACCTTATTTTTACATGTTTACAATGCCTTGTCATAGCGCTAGAAAAACTCGATAAAAGACAGAAAATAAGATGTGAATGAAGATTTTCTTCTAAATCCCAGGAAAGTACAGCAAAATTTTTCAGTCTGCAATAAGTATTTTTAACGAAATATTTTTACACGTGTTTGTAGTAGAGTCTATGCTCTTTTTAAACAGGAAAACTATTTCAAGTCTCGATGATAAGCTGTTGTCACGCTATGCTAAAAAAAAAATTAATGCAGAATTTTTACACCATCTGTTATTCTATACTTGATGCATAGCTAAACCAATAACTCGCATTGTTGTTTCATTTTGATCGGAAAAAAATAAACTCCAAGTTTGTTTTTTATCTTGAAAAGCTATTTACAAACAGAAAAAAAAAGCTTCTTAAAATAAATCACATTTTATTTAAATATTCTTTACCTGAATCTTCAAGTACTTCATGATAATTAATAGTAAATGATTGTTTTTGTTCAATTTCAGACTAAATAAATAAATAAATATAAATTTTCAAAATAATTCTAATTATAATTGACATACATAATCATATAAATTTTTCATACGTCTAAAATAATCTTCAAATAATTGACAAACTGATAAATAACTTGGATCAGATTCTTTATCTAGAAAAAGAAAAAAAAAACAAGAAGAAACTTCTATGTTCATGAAATTCTATTAATAAAATAAACCTGTATCAGGAAAATAAAGTGACCAACCACGATAACGTTCTGGTTGTTCAGTAATATTAATATACTTAGCTAAACAAAATAAAGAAATTAAAAAAATTTTTTTTCTGCTTCTTATTATTATTTACTAATTGGTGTTTGAATAAATTTAATTGGACTTGAAGGTCCTATATGTGAATAATTTTGATTATGTCTTCCATCATCTTGTTTCGATGAATTTTCATTATCCTTTTTTTTCTTTTTCCAAAATTGATTTTTAAACTTATTATATGGATTATATCCTTTCTTTTTTTGGCCATTTTGTTGTGGTTTTTTTTGTCCTGGAGCCATAAAAAGAAATAATCTAAAAGATAATTCCAATAACAAATCTAAGGAAAAGACAAATCGATAAGATATGTTTGTCAAACTGTTTCAGATACAATCTATAGAATGAAAACAAATAGATAAATGTCATCATACTTTCGATTGTTAACGCGCCAAATATGAACTTTATGTTGTTGTTTTTTTTTTTGTTTTATTAAATAGTAAAACAAATAAACTATTTTGTTTATCGAATGAGTTTGTTTAACGAGAATAAAAATAATTCTTCTATATTTTCTTCAAAAAAATCTTTATCAAATTATCGAACATGTACACCTTGTTGTCCATATGATGCTAAAAATTTATTTCATCCAAAATTTAATAATTTTTCTACTATTGAAACAGATATTAAAGAAAATAATTTAATAAAAAATCCTGATACATGTTGTTTAAATAAACTTCAAGTTGATTGTCGTATTCAATGTTATAAAAAGAAAAAAAAACATGATAAAATCATGAAAAATAAACGATTTGATTCAATAGATTCATCTCCAAGTTTAAAACGAAATATTTCATTATCAAGTCAATTAAGTTCAAATCAAAAACGAAAAAGATTTAATTCAACTACGAATATAAATAGTCATTATATTCATAATTATGATATTGATAGTCAAACATCATCTTCAGCACTTTCAACATTATCAAATACAAATGAAAGTGAAATAACTGAACAAACATTTTCATCTATTGAATCAAGAAGAAAATATAAATATAAGAATAAATCTGCAAGTACAATTATTCAATAAAATATTTTCAAATTTGTCTTAACAACTCTTTTATTTTTTATTTTTATTGTTTTGTTTACATCAGATGCACAACACCAACATTATAAAAGAAGTCAATCAAGATTACATATCAATCAAAATATTCAAGATTTAAAAACTTCAATTGATAATCTAACTGAATTAATTGTTCAACAAAAAAATCCTTGTCAAATATCTTCATTACCTAATCAATCAATATCATTTCTTGATAAAATTCGTCGTTTTTTTACTTTATTTAAATTTTCATCAAAATCAACTAAAGATTTAATCAATGAAGAATGTTGTCGAATTCTTGAATATCATCATTTAACCAAACAAAATCTTCTTAGTATCTATCATTTATTTGATAAAAATGAAACTATATTTCTTAATTGGTTACGAACAATAATGCCTGACTATATTCTTCCATTATTACTTAACTATGTTAAATATTTTGATTCGATATCAACTGATAACGAATAATACATATTGCACTATGTTGTTTCTTTTACACAGGAACGCCAAAAAAAAATTTTGTTTTGTTTATGTCGGTTCTTATCTTAGAATAAACTATCACTTGAGACTGCCCATTTTTCTCTTGGCTAGGTTTGTCTTTATGAAAAATTGTATGAATGGTTTTTCATTATTTTTTTTTAAATGTTAAATATTAATGAAATTAAACTTTTATTAATTAGAGTATGATGTTCAATATTATCTACACACGAAATAAAAGTTCATCCGTTAGCTTTGTTTGTACCTAAAAGCGTCCGTCCGTTAGTTCGTCATCATTATTTCCTTTCAGCTCAATTCAGAAGAACGCAAAGAGAAAAAATGCGAGAAGAAAAATCGTTTGTATGTTTCTCTTCTTTCTTCTCTCTCTTGCGCTCGTTTTTTTTTTCTATTTCTTTCATTCTGCTCTCCGTACGTGTGTCTATCGTCGTCGTCGTCGTCGACATCGTCGTCGTTTATCCTCCACCACATTTACTCGACGTATTTGTGCCTCTCTACTGGTGTCGCCATTCATTCCCCCATCGTTGCATATTTCCCTTGCGCCGCCGCTTCTGCATCACCGACGGAGCACGCCAGTGTCCACTGCTAGTTCTAATTTACTATTCGTTGTTGTATTGAAGTAGCAACAACGAGGTGGGATGTAAGTCGAAATGGTCGCCGTCTTTAGTTACCATTAAATAAAATAAACAAATATTTTCATTATAATCCTAGGGCACATTTACATAATAATGAACCATTATGTATTGTACAAGGATGTCCAAATGGTATTCAAACAAATCCATCTATACAATATTTTGCTGTACCAGTACATATAGCAAATATTGCTGCAGCATGGTATAAAAATACTATGCGTACTGATTTAACACCATCACATACACATCGTATATGTGAACAACATTTTGAAGAACCATGTTTTGATTATGTTGGAAATAATACAAAAGTACTTAAACCAAAATCATTACCAACATTATTTGATTTAGAAGTTTTTTATAAAATGATTGCATATCAAGATAAATTACAAGAATCAAATAAAACAATTAAAAAAACAAATATTACATTTCATACAAGTAATCCTGATTTAGATGGACGTACATTAGAACCAATATTAAAAATGAATCTTGAAAGTGGTCATGTTAAAACACGTTTAGCACCAACACAGGCAATAAATAATATTCAACAAGAACATATTGATAATAAAAATCAATCATCATTTATTGTTAATAAACCATCATTAAATCATCATGATAATGTAAGAAAATTTTCATTTCGAAAAAAAATAAAAACTGAATTTTAAATATTTTATTTTTGTATAAATTTTAGTTTGAAAATAAAGCATCAAATCGTTGTCATGTTGAAGGTTGTGCACATAATTATGTTGCACGTCGTCATCGTGTACAATTATATAAAATACCACGTGATCCAACAATAGCTCGTAAATGGCTTGATGTATGTGGTTATGAAAATCTTCCAGTATCATCATCAACATCGACATTTAAAATTTGTCGTGAACATTTTACACAAAATGATTTTGAAGGACCAACAACATTACGTCCTGATGCTGTACCATCACTTTTTACAACATATTCACGTTCACTTATGGATAAACTTAATTCAAATGATTCAAATTCATCAGCAAAACGTTTTCGATCTGATATGGCAAGTATACGTGCTAAACAAACAACACCAGTAAATAATAATAATAATAATACTAATATTAATAATAAACGAATACAAATACCATATCGAAGTAATAGCAAACAATATCATCATCATGAACAACAAATTCATTCACCATCACCAATACATGAAAATTTTGATGATAGTATGAAACAATTATTAAATGAAACAAAACAAACAATTGATATTGAATTAAATATGAATTGTATGGAAGAACAATTATCTGATGTTCAATTAGCACATTGTCCTGTTAAAGTAAATATTATTTTTTCAGAACTGACTAAGTAGGGATTTTTCCGAGTAGCGGTTAGAAAACTGAGAATCCACGTTTTATCTGGATCCGCACCCGAGAAAAACTAAACTTTGAGTTCACTCTCGAGTTTTTTTGACCAATATCTAATATGAAGGATCAAGATTTTAGGGTAGTCTCAGAAAAAAAAGTTAACGTATAGTTATTTGTTCATTTTCTCATCATTCGTTGGTTAGTAAATTGAAAATTTTTGCTTAGCTGAAAAGAGTCTTATATTTACAAAAAAAGAAAATGAACAGATAATTCATAAACAAATATCGTGATTGAAAATTGTTAAACTAATAGTGACACTAAAATCGTCTGCTGTATGGAATAGTTTTAGTTATATGGATATAAATGAGATCTAGCAAGTAAGAAGCTGTGGATTCACGTTTTTTGTGAATCCATGCCCGACAATAAATTAAACTTTGGATCCAAATCCGACTCCTAGTCACGAATATGAGTATCGACCCTTCGAACTACGAATGCATATTCGTATTTGCCCAGGTTTGATTATTTCAAATTGATTTATATATTTATTTTGTTATAAATTAGGCTCTTGATCGAACAGATACAACAAATGGTATAGCACCAAAACCACGTAATCCTGTTGGCCGTCCTCGTATACATCCTCGCGAACCACCGCCACCACCACCAACAACAACAACATCAATGACAAATTCTACAACACGTCGTCCAACTTATCGTACAAATTATGTTGATGATGATACAAATGAATTTGATGAATATGAAGAATGGAATCTTGATGAATTTGATCATAATGATGATACAATACGTGATCGTGATTGGCTTAATCGTCAACAAGATGATCGTTTACCATGGTCAAAACGAAATAATTCAACTGTTAATAATTATTCATCAACATATCAACGTAATAATACTAATACAAATTCTTATCGAAATGTTCGACAACCAATGTCTTTTCAACAGCAACAACAACAACAACAACAACAACAACAACAACAACAACGTCAAACAAATAATAATCAACAACGACAAAATCGTGGACAATTTTATCAAACACAATTTGTTAAACCAGAACCAACACGAAAAGCAACAATACCATTTCTTCAACCAGCTTTTGCGCCAAATGCTTCTACACAATATCCACGTGATCAACCATTGCCTCGTCTTAAACCAGGCACAGTTAGAACGCGAGGTAAATTCGTCTATTTATTTCTTAAGCTTTAGAAAAAAAACAAACTTTCATTTTATTTTATAGAAGAAGGTCTTGAAGTTGAACTCGGTATGTATTATTCTTAATGAAATTTTTCAAATAATTTGTCTTTTTTTTTCTTCTTGTCAGAACATACTTATAAACGAGCTTTATCAAAATATTACGGTCAAAAACCCGGTCGAAATTTACCATTATCCGATTATGGTGATTTTCGTAGTCAAGTAAATAAAACAAATTAAATATAAAAAAAAAAAAATCTTTCATTTCATAATTAACATACACAAGATTATTTTAGTGTCCTATGTGTGAAAATCTTCTATTTGATAATAATATACAATTAATAACACATCTTTGTCAACATTTTGATCAACAAAGTTATCATGAACAACAATTTCAACCAAATACAAATTCACCATTTGAACAAATAAATACAAAATGTTCACATTGTCAATCAGAATTTTCAAATCCATATTTTCTTGCTATACATATTGATGATAAACATATGCTTGAAATGAATGAATATCGTTGTCGTATATGTGAACAACGTCATACATCATTATTAGAATTAATAGCACATTTAAATTTATGTCATTGTGGTTTAGAAATGCCATATTATTGTGAAGTATGTTCATTTCGTACATCAATGCATGCTGATATGATTTATCATATTGATGAAGTACATAAAGGTACAAGATATTTCTTTTGTCCATATTGTTTTATTGCTATTGAATTACCATTTATAACAAATTCATCATCAATACTTAATGGAACATTAGCATATAAACATTTATTATTACATTTTAATAAAGTTGATCAAGGACGTACCATACAATCAAAATTTAAGCATTGTAGAAAATGTGTTTTACATGTTGGATCTATGAAAGATCATTTACAACGTGATCATTTAAATATAGTTGATGGAATTAAAGCTACATATTATGATGATGATGAAAATCGTAAATAATTTTAATTTCATTTAGAAAAGCAATAAAAATTTAAAACATCTTCTTTGCTATCTGTTTAGTAGAAAAACAAAGTGATGAAGGTGAACAATATGATGATTCAATAATGGATACGTCTTCATTACCAATTGATAAATCATCAACAGCAAGATATGTGACACCGGCAAAAAGTGGATAAAGATGTTTTTTCTTTCTTTTCTTTTATGTACATTTATTATTATTGTCTATCTTTCTTTCGTCATTGGTCTTCTCCTATCCGTTTGGTCTTGTAGATCGAACACGGTTTGTGTGTTTATGTATGCGTATAGGTGTTATGACATTTATCGTTTTTTTTTTGTCTTTGCAGAATATAACTTTGCGCCTGTCTTTTTTTCGTCTTCTCTTTGATTATCACATAGAACATTATTTGCATAGCAAATAATTTTGCTTGACAATACAAGAGAAAAGAAAGAAATGATAAAGTACAAAAAAAAAAAAAAAAAAAAAAAAAAC